CAAGAGAAATTGAATGGCGCAAACCAGAGGTCCATATTACACCCCTAATCAAAATGGCAGCCATTTTAATTATTTGAGATAAGCATGCAAGATAAAGTCTGGACACCCCCAGTTAACTTTAAAATATTTAGTATTTTAATACTAAATAGATTGGTTTAAGGTTGGTGAATTCTCTTTTTTTTTAAAGGTATGCTGAGTTCAGTTTTCCTGTTATAACCTGTTAAAAAGTTAATAGGGGATATTTCAAAATGACTGCCACTTTGATTAGGGGTGCGATATTGATCTCTAGTTTGCGCCATTTAATTTTTTTTGAGAAACCCTTTAAAATGAGGGGTCGCATGATAGGTGTTCACATTTGTAAATTTGAGGCTGCCCCCAAAATACCCCATTTTGGTGGCCGGGTACAAGTTCTAACTTTAATGAAAAAGTGCATTTTTTTATGTTGTAAACATGTGCCGAGTTTGGTTTTCACACTGCCACACATTATAAAGTTAACTGGGGGTGTCAAGACGTTACATTGCTTGCTCATCTTAAATTAAAATGGCTGCCATTTTGATTAGGGTGCGATATTAACTTCTGGTTTGCACCATTCATTTTCTCTTGAAATACCCTTTAAAATGAGGGGTCACATGATAGGTGTTTACATTTGAAAATTTGGGGCTGCCCTCAAAATACCCCATTTTGGGGGCTGGGGCAAAGTTGTTACTTTGATGAAAAAGTACAATTTCTTATGTTGTAAATATGTGCCGATTTTGGTTTTCCTACTGCAACACTTTAAAAAGTTGACTGGGGGGTTACAGACTTTTGCCTAACCCTGTATATGAATGAATTTGAATTGATGGTGTTTTTGACCACTGTGGAAATCAAAACAAAAAAGTAAATCAGTCCCAGTTCCAAGTCTACCTACGGTAGTAGCATATTCCCCTATATGAGAAATTCGCTAAACTATTTGATGTAGCACTTTGTATTGTAGCCTACAGGTCATCAACCAATTTTCCAAACATGATTATGAATTGAGGTTATATTTTTGTAGATGAAAATAATGTACTTTTAGTATCTGAGGCCTACTGAAAACCTCATCATTTAAATAGCAAGACTTATTTCTCTATTGCTGTAAATTCAAGTCAAGTCACTGAGTTTTAACAAGTTAACTGTTAAATAATCTTATCCTCGTCTTAACGACTTGTTGACTACACAGTCGCTGATGGGTTGTCATGTAATGCTGAAACACCAACCGGTAAAATCCTGACGTTTATTACTTACTTGACCACCACAAAGGCCACCAATAGTGCTGTGCCTACCACAGGTTCAGAAAACTTCAATTCACTATGTATAAAATACTTTTGGCTATGGATAGTAGTAGTAGGACCCATACCCATGTTTAAAGTAGCAGCAATTTTTAGACCGGAAATGAACGTAGTTTAGTTGAGCCAACGACAGAATGTAGGCCCACTACATCAATTACAGATTTCTTTTGTGTAAACCGGCCGTTTAACCGAGCCCAACCAAAACAACATCTTACCTGGAGCACAGGAGGTTTAAAGTTTGTTGGAAAGACAAATTTTGTTTTACACAAAAATAATTCCTCAAGGAAGGGGGGAGGGGATGTAATTATCTCATAGTTCCATAGCATTAATAAACCTACACATTCCATTCCCAAGTTAAAGTTGTCGCCAGTTTTTAAATAAAAATTGTCAAAGTTGATGTGAGCCACCGACAGATTGCGCTGATCTAAATCACTAATTTCTGTTGAATATACAGACTTTTTAACAAAGTCAAACTAATGGAATGACTTATGGTGAGCTATGGCAACTATGATGACCCATCAACTTGGTCAGCAACAATAAGGTAGAAAAAAGAATTTTAGACCCTAGCACATTCTGTGACTGGCTCACACAACTATGTTCTTTTTTGATACAAAAAATTGGTGACAGCTCCATATAGATGGGATGTCTACTTCAGTATCCAATAGTCAATGTCCATAGCGTTTCAAATGCAAACCAAAATCCTACATATTACAATCAACTATCTCTTCATGTCACATAAATTATCCAAGTTAAAAAAAAGTTCCAAGGGGCAAAATTGAATTTCAACAATGCTACATTCTGTAATTGGCTCATTCAATTATGTTCAGTTTGTATAAAAACTTGGCTACAGCTGGTTTAACAGAACTATACTTAACGCAAATAGAACTGGCGGGTGAAGGTATTTTTTTTTAATAGGCCAGCTTAATCAACTACCCGTTCTATTTTAGTTATACCTGGAATTTCTACCCTATGGCACAGAAAACATACTACTATAACCCAGAATGCCAACCGCATGGTAAAAAGCGTTAAGTACTTTGAGATGGCTTTGCCTGTCGATTCGTAGGCAGCGCCACCAGCGTTGCTATGCACTCAGCTCTCATGATATGCTCTCAAAGTACTTAACGCTTTTTACCATGCGGTTGGCATTTTGCGTTATAATAGTATGTTTTCTGTGCCTATAGTCTATTAGCAAAATTTGGCCGGTTTACAAGTAAGGTTTCCTAGGTTCCACTTTTTTTAGTTTAATGTATTCATCAGCTGATCAACTGTCTGATGTTATTTGAAGGTTATAGTGAGGTGGACGAGATGGAATCACTTCCACTCGAACCGCCTAAATTTTGCAATTGGAGTATAGTATACAAAAGTCAATAAGCTACTAATACAAAGAACAATTTTGCCCTAACCATGTCTTCTTCTAGTAAAAGGTCGTGGCGGTACAGTGGCAACGCTGCAGCCTAGGCATACCGAAACAGCTGTTGCACTAATTCAGAATGGAGCTTCCACATACAATGTTTATGCTATGTTTATACTTTTATTGCTGTTGATACATCGGAATATACCGGACGATGCAGCGCAGCCACACGCCAACGAAAGGCTAGTTTCAACACATTTTAATGTATGGATGTCTAAATATTTTGTAAACATATGAAAATGTTTTGAAGATTTATTGGAAAAGTTGGATAGCTGCCTAAGATCAATGCATGTTTATATACCTAGTCCATCAATTTTTTCTTTCTTCATATTTGGTTGATACATTTTTATAAACCTCGAATTTTGTCTACAGACATCAGGCATATGTATGCTACGTACCACGTAAAGCAGGGGGTGAGCCATTGCAGTATAAGATTGAACTGTACCAAAAATTGTAGTGGCAGCAACAGGATTCGAACCCACAACAGCACCATCTTATATTTATAGCCAATTGCACTATCGGTTGGTCCACCGAATCATCGAAACTACTCTTACACCAACCATTCTTTAAGATCTTTATAACAAAATACAGCGTGACCTTTTCATCATATAGCCTACTTGATACATATGGCCAAACTCCATCCTCTTCATCAGGAATCCCATTGATTGATATCTATTTGGTACTTACCCAACGATGAATTTGGCACCATGAGAAAATTCTGTCGAGATGTCTTATTTTGGTGTGAAGGTAATTTTCTAAACAACGCCATAAAAAGTGTTATTAAGGGATTTTGGAACAAGTAAAACTTCTAGGCACACCAACACCTGACTATTCCCTATACTTAATATTTTTTGCTCCACCTCGGATACTAACAATAAGTTATGTCCAAATGCGGGATTGTGCTTTTGGCACTACCGGTACTCCAGTAATTTCATCATGCGCATACATTCAAAATGTATTTTCAAACTGATCAGTTCTTTAGTATAATTTCTATTGTGTCCAACCAATGCCACACTAAAAAAACAGGCTGTAATGCTCGTCAAGCATGAAGTCACGATAGAAGACGGCAATGACGCAGGTATTTATTTATTTATTTTCCAAGGAAAGATTAAAACAAGCAACTGATCACAAACAGCAAACATTACGTCATTCTCGTCTTCTATCGTGACGTCATGCTTGAAGAGCATTATACGGCCTGTTTTTTTTTAGTGTAGCCTTGGTCCAACACTACTTTTCAAGCTGAAATTGGTTATTTAACTGAGATTTAATATTATTAAAAATACATAGTAGGCCTACTCTTTTTTTATCATAGGCCTACAAACTATTTTGAATTTCAAAGTGTTGAAAATAAGATCATATAGGGCTGCTGTATGTAGTTATAGAAGGAGCGTTCAATAGTTTTAAACAGCACTTGGCAGATATAAACTGTGTTTGTGTATCCAAGTATTCTAATAGAGAAGTTACCACAAGAAAATAAACTGTGGTAGAATTTCATGAATAGTACATTAAAACATAAAAAAATTGAGAATTTACAAAATCTTGGGTTGTAAGTTGATTTTTAAAGGTTTATATAACCTTTAAAGACCTTTTTTTTTAATTTCACATTTAGGTTGGATCAAACATTTAAGTTCCCTGCTCTCAATTGTTTCTTTTATGTAAAAGAGATGGATTTGTTAAACTTTAAAAAAGAATCTTCCATAAATAATATTCGGATAAAAAAATGATTCAAAAGTTTTTGAAAAAAGATGAACGTAAACATAAAAAAACAAATCTTAAAATTCAAGATCCATTCTTATTGGTTGGAAACCATTGAAGTTAATTTCAAAGATCGAGAACACTTCAAGTTACAAGTTATTGAAATTAACTTACTTGATATTTTAAATACGCTGAATGGAGTTCAGTTAAAACTTTAGCTAAGGCTCGGTCTGTGTATTCCCAGTTTTTTAAAGAGGGAAGAGCATCTTCTAGCATCTCGAGATTAATCGAGTAGAAGTCAAAATCACCAAGATCAAAGTCCGGGGGGCATTTTGGGAACGCTCCGTTGAAGATGATTTGCCAAATCACATACTGGTCTGCTATCGGAATCTTCAGTTTAAAACGATCATTGATCGCTACTTTAAGCTTTTCCAACGCAGGCTTGCCTGACGATACTTCTAACAATTCTATTTCTCTGGCACAAATACCTGTAAATACAATGTAAAGTTAAAGAATCTGAAGAATCAATATGATCCTCGGATCTTCTTTACCCTCGAGTCAGCTACAGGAAGAAAATAGCAGATTGCGCAGTTTCCAAAGTTTATTAAAATATATCTGCAAACTAACAACAAAACAGTTTGTGTCAATACAATTGTAAGTATTACAAATACAAAAAATATAAATGAATAATCAACCTTTTCATGTTACTCTTTAAGGTAGAATGAGAAATTACTTTTTCAATAAAACCTTAAAACTTTGAAATTGTAGAAACAATTAAATGTGATGGTAATTCAATGAAACAGATAGCAAATGCACAATTTACTTAAACACAGTAGGCCTACTGATAGCCAAATTTAATGAAAAATTATCTCTAAACTCAAACCGTGATAGCCTACCTTATTTTTTGTATGAATATGAAATATTAAACATTGCAGTTACAGGGTTACTCAGGTGATTCCATTATTTTAACACCTCACAAAATTGTAGAAAAACGTTTCAAATTTCTTTAAAATTAATCATACGAATGACATTTATATATATGATTTAATAGTAATAAAATATTTAAGCAAACTTTATTTGTTCTGTGAAAGTCTATATTGACAGCTTATTAAACAATTATTTGGAAGAGGGAACGAGAAATAAAGTAAATGATATCTCATTGATTATAAGACATCACTAGTGTAAATAGACAAGCAATGACATAAAACCTGTTAACCTGCAGTTAAAAAAAATAAACATGCACATAATTTATGTTAATAAAAAGAATGAAAATAAGTTGGCTTTTTGTGATTTTGACATTGAGTTCCAGTTTTGACACTTTCCTAGAACACAGTTTGAATTACCAGATAAATAATTCAAAGATAATAATTGGTCAATTCACAATGGCAAGCATTATATAAATCAGCTTTCTATATAAAACAAAGTATTTATTGTAATTTACTATATTAATTCATTTCTCAACAAAAACTTGCATTTTTAATAATGTTGATTGATAGACAAATTAACATATTATACTGTCATGATAAGACACATCAAAAAGCAAATCTTTATAAATTTGGAAATGGATAGTTAAAACTTTTCTCTTCCATTAGATTTTATCAATTTTTTGAAAAAATTGTAGTAAACAAATTTTATTTAATTCTACAAAGTAAAATTACCCACAGAAAGTACAGAAATATTGAAGTCACAGAGGGAAACAACACAAATCTCAATACATACGGTGCAACATTCTTATATAAGTACATATGGTACAGTTCAAGCAAACTATCAACGAGGAAGATGAACTCCAAACCCAAGACCAAGCCCCCGATGAGTGTGTGTAGACACTCTGGCTACCTCATATTGTTTCTCCATAGAGTTAAACATTTCTTCTTGTTTCTGTAACAATTCACTGTTTTTACTAGAGGAAGATCCTTCTTCCCCGTCCTTGATTCCCATTAACCGTTTAAACTTGGCAGTTAGTTTTCCATCTTGATCCTGAGAAAAAGTAGTTCCTTTCCAAACACTCTCAGGGCCAGCTTCGGGGGCTTTCTCCTCTTCTTTCTTTTCGGCAGCCGAACTTTCGCCCTCTTGTTTTTTGCTTCCCCATATCAGTTTGCGCTTTTGCATCTGCTGAGCGTACTTGAGAGGGTTGACTCCGGCTGGGTTATAATAACTCGGGATGGAAAACCCAGCGTTACCTTCGCCAAGACCTTGACCATCTGGCATCTTCAGTTCTATACCTAGCTTCTCCAGGATGTTCAACTTTTGCATCTTCTTGTCATGCAGTCGTTTTGACCTGTCAAAACTTTTAGAACGACTCTTAGATCTTTTTCTGGGACGACTCCGAGAGCGACTTCTTTTACTGCTTCTATCTCGGGATCTATCTTTTGACCTCTTTTTAGAGTGATTTCTATCTTTGTAATAATTTGGACTTCGGGAATCCCGTCTAGATTTATCCTTGTATTTATCTCTACTTCTGGATCTTTCTCGCCGTTTATCTTTCCTTTCTACGCTTTTAGACCGACCTCGTCTCTTTTCTCTGCTACGTGACCTTGCTTTAGTTCTTTCTCTACTCAGTGATCTTGATCTTCTATCTTTCATGCCCCTTTTTCTTCTATCCCTACTATGAGATCTCTCGCGTCTTTTCTCTTTGCTCTTGGAACGATCTCTTTTATCCAAACTTTTTATATCATACTTTGAACTTGTTTGTAAATCGTATTTTCTGTCCTTACTTTGAGAGCGATCTTTTACAGAGGTCTTACTTGGAGATCTATTTGTCCTTCGCTCATTGCTTCTTGAACGGTATCGCTTCCTTTCAGAACTTCTGGAGTGATCTCTCTTTTGGTCATCGGAATACCTGATGAAGTCGCTTCCTTTACCAGACGCTCTGGGTAACGCTGGATGTCCCAAAGACTCATCACTGTCGGACAACTCTTCCTGTTGAATTTTATAACCTATATCTAATGCTATTTTATTTACAACAGTTGGTGGGTTCGGTAGTTTAGAACTGCCTTCTCCTTTGTACTTCTCATGGCTTTTAATTTTGACATCTTTGCCTCCTTCACTGCTGGTTGATGAGTATGAAGAAGAGGAAGAGCTTCTTCGCACTTTCCTGTTGGATTTGTCACTCATTTTAACTTGCCTAAGACCTTAAAATGACAATGCAGTCTTCTCAATTACCACCTGAAACATTCAAGAAGACACCAGATACAAAATAGCCTACATCGTTTGCTGATCTAATATGTTTTTCATCTCTGCAACAAAGGTTAAAACTTAAACTAATACAGATCTTAAGTAGGCCTATGTAATGGCTCTTGAATGGAAATAAGAACTGGGCTTCAAACATAAAAATATTCTGTCATTGGTTTTCTTAGAGCACACAACTTGAACACATATGAATTGAAAACTACACCTTACATAATTCATTAGTTAATTGTTAAATTGGTAAACAGAAACGAAGATGCAAACTCATAACAGGGGCCTACAGGATAGTATGGGTCGGACATGTAAGTACCGGTACCAGAGTTTTTTCTAACAGGTAGGCCTACTCAGGCATCGCCCAGCTCACTTGAGAGGTGCATTAGAATTTTGATGACCAGAAAATTAATTTTTTTAGACCAATTTTTGTTAACATTTACCAATCGAGATATATATATATATAGTCGGGAGTACATTTCTAAGTTTTTCTTTAGGCTCATTTTCATGTGTAATAGTGATGGTTGAATATCTTGAAGTTCCCGAGATTTTGGGAAGTGATCACTTAAAAGTGTACCACAATCGCAGAAGTTGGTCATGACAATTGCAATCCAGGCATGGAAACAGGGCCGGCTTTAACCATAGTCTAGGCCAAATAGGCGCGCGCCTAGGGGCATGCACCACAATATTACAATTTACAAAATAATGCCACTGTTAATGTTTTCTATTGTGGATAATAGGTTCAAGAGGTGTACCCTAGTCATATAGGGTATTTGTCACTGTGGTAGGCTAATACTCACAATTGTCTGAGGACTGACAAAAATCTTAGATTTCTACGATTTCAACGCAATCATAGGAGAAACATCATAGGATAAAGTTGCAGTACTTTCTTGCCAAAGGGAACATTCAATACCTACTATCAATGTTTTTTTTAGGCGTATATATTAATATCTTTTTCTTTATAATGATCCATAGGCCTATTCTTATGTTTTAATATTTTCAACACTTTTAAGTTACAAAATGACAACTGATCTGTTTAGGCTAATCTATTCTATATATAATTCAGTTTTAAAAATCTTTGTACAACTAAATCTAGAGTTCTACTGGACCGATTTTATTAATTAATGGGTCGTTGGAAAGCTTAGGTCGTGTAGATTTGCAAATAATTATGAAAGTTTGTTTTTATTATGATTTATGGTGAAAAATTTCAAAAAAACATGTTTTCCATAAGAAATACATTGAAAACAGTGTTTTTCACACTTTTTATTTGGGTGCGACTTTTAGCTGCCTTTTTTAGTGTTTCCAAGAAGTGTATGGTATCAATTTGTAGGAAATTTTATACTCTTTCAGAATATCACCTTCCACTTTGGTCGATTTCCTCACCATTTAAAAGTTATTTGCAAAAAAGCTAAGCAACCTCCGAATTTATAATAATGAGAAAATATTGAGTTTGGGATATTTTTGTTAAACTTTGTACAACTAAATCTAGACTTCTACCGGACCGATTTTGTTAATTAATGAGTCATTGGAAAGCTTTACTCATGTAGATTTGCAAATAATTATGAAAGTTTGATTTTATTTAATATTTGTGGTGGAAAAATAAAAATAACAAAAATGCATTAAAAACTGTTTTTTCGGGTTTTTATTTTCAAGTTTATATTTGTAGTCAGCTTTTGGCTGCCTTTATTAAATAATTTTAAGAATTACACAGAAGGTATTTGTAGGAAATTTTATCTTCTTTCAGAATATCACGTGCATTTTCTACGATTTACTCACCATTTAAAAGTTATTGTCAAATTAAATAAGTGACCTCCAAATTTTTAGTTGTTAAAAATACTGAATTAGGGATATTTTTGTTAAACTTTGTACAACTAAATCTAGACTTCTACTGGACCGATTTTGTTAACTAATGTATCGTTGGAAAGCCTTATTTGTGTAGATTTGCAAATAATTATGAAAGTTTGATTTTATTAAATATTTGTGGTGGAAAAAGAATAAAAAGCAAAAATACATTAAAAACGGTTTTTTTTATAGTTTATATTTTCAAATTTCTATTTGTAGTTAACTTTAGGTTGCCTTTTTTGAATATTTTCAAAAAACGCTTAAGAGTACTTTGTAGAAAATTTTATTCTCTTTCAGAATATCACCTTCCACTTTGGTCGATTTCCTCACCGTTTAAGAGTTATTTGCAAAAAAGCTTAGCAACCTCCTAATTTATTGTGGTGAGAAAATATTGAATTGGAGAGATTTTTGTTAACTTTCTACAACTAAATCTACAATTCTACAGGACCGATTTTATTAATTAATAGGTCAATAAAATCTGTGTAGGTTTCCAAATAGTTAGTAAAGTTTGAGTTTTATTTATTTATGGTAGAAATACGTTTGCCGGTATGAATAATCTAAAAATGTTTATGGTAGTAATAATGGGTTAGCCAGTATGCATAATCTGATCACATGGAACACATGTATTAACCTATAGTTTAACAGCTGATTGTTTTATTGTTATTTCCTTGATTTTTCTTTGTTTACATTTAGTTGTTTACTATTTGCATTGGTGGTTAAAGTGAGTTCCATAAAGTTTGTGTTTCTAAAGTGATGTTTTTAATCTTTACCATTAATAAGTATTGGTGAGTTAAGTGATGTATGGATTTCATAACCAAAAATTATTATTTCAAACTGTCAATTATAAGTTATTCAAATTTAATTTATAATTCACAGTTTAAAATAGTATTTAATATTCGTTAATTTTGAACTGTTAATTATACACTCAATATTTTACATTAGTTGAAAAATGAATAACTTTACTCTTCACTACATGGTTGGTGATGGAAACTGTTTCTTTAGAAGTGTCTCATATTTATGCCATAAATCTCAATCCAGATACAGTGATATACGATCCAAAGTAGTTAATGAAGTCGTCAATAACTGGGACTACTATTGTCCTTTTATCGTAGGGGATAAGACATATAGACTAGAAGTAAAAAACGCGACGGAATACAGACATTTGATGACCAAAGATGGGGAATACGCCGGTAATGTCGAAATCGAAGCTGCAGCAAGAGTTTTTGACTGCCAATTCAAAATATATGCTGAGAAATTGGATTATTTTGTAACGGTTGGTGAAGGCACAACGATCTATAAACTACGATTCTCAGGAAATGTGGATGCTGGGCATTACGATGTTTTGATAGACAATAGTATGCCTGAGAATCAAGAGGATGTAATCTTACCAAAATCAAAACGAGGCCGTGCATCAAAAAATAGAAAAAGTAAAACATGTTCTGGCAGACGTGAATCAACAGCTCATAAAAATAAATTGAAGAAACCAAATTATAGTACAGATCAAGATTTACTGCAAGGGGTAAAAAAGTGTTCATCAAGCAATCAAAAGGATGGAGACCCAGAAAATGAAAAAGAAACAGAACAAGATAGTCAGACCAACACTTTACTCAGAGATGATGCAACTTCCTCAACCTGCAAACGAGGACGTCCAGGAAAGAATAGAAAAAGAAAAACATGTTCTGGCAGACGTGAATCAGCAGCTCATCACACAGGTCCAGCGGAGAATGGAAAAAGAAAAAAATGTTATGGAGACACAGAAGATGAAACAAAACAAGATAATGTGACTAACATTTTACTCAAAGATGATGCAGCTTCCTCAACCTGCAAACAAGGACGTGCAGCAAAGAATAGGAAAAGGAAAACATGTTCTGGTAGACGTGAATCAACAGCTCATCACACAAGAATAGGAGAGGGAAATAATAGTGATGTAAATAATAGTTTACAGCTACCTATCACTTTTGTGCCTGAAGCCTTAAAAGATATAAACGATGAAAGTGAAATAAAGTTACACTCATGTGGTAGTCTTAGTGAAGTGTGCGAATTCTGTGGTGCTAAATACTTTGTCGGAGAAAGACCTGGCGATAAAATGTTTTCTAAATGCTGCTCAAAAGGAAAATTTACATTAGAACGGATTCAAACTGCATTATTACTTGAACAGCTTATGACTAATAACAATATTTATTCCGATAACTTTATGTCCAATATCCGTTCAATTAACAGCTCCCTGTCTTTTGCTTCGATGGGAGCGCAAATAGTCCCCCCTTCAAGTTATGGTCCTTATTGTTTTAGAATAAATGGCGCTATTTATCATCGTGCTGGTACATTACATCCTGAAAATGGAGAGCAGCGTAAATATGCTCAGTTGTACATACTCGATCCTGATGAGGCTACTGCTCAAAGAATGAAAATCAAAGAAAACTCTGGATGCAATGAACATTTATTACAAACATTAGGCTTATTCATGTCAAAGTATAATCCATTTGCAGAAGCCTGCAAAATGATGTATGAAGTAGAGCAAGAATGCATGCAGGACACATTAATGAATAATGCTGTTACATCTGATGTGACAATGGCTATAATTCAGGACCGACAATATGATGAAAGAAGATATAACTCTGCAAGATGTAATGAGGTTGCTGTCATTTTCGAGAATACGGATGGTGAACCACCTCTGCACCGTGATTTACTAATTCATTGTCGTGCTAACAATACAATCAGTAACAAAACCCAAAGAATCAGCATTTTGGACCCAAATTTGGAACCAATGGTATATCCTCTATTTTTTCCGTATGGCGATCAAAGTTGGGGGATCAATATTCCACTGAATGATAAGCCATCGTGTCTCAAAAATATTAAAAATAAACCTTTAAATCCAAGATCAAGAGTCACTCAGATGCAATATTATCAATATCGACTGTCAGTACGTGATGAATTCAATCCTTTTTTGTGTGGGGGAAAACTCACGCAACAATATATTGTTGATGCCTACACAAAAATTGAGGCAAATAGATTAAATTTTATTCGACAAAATCAATCTCAACTTAGAATTGAACAGTACAAAGGTTTAATGGACCAGATTCGGATATCAGGAGACAATGAATTGTTTCCCCCTGGAAAGCCTTTCATTTTGCCATCAACGTTTCAAG